GATTGTTCGACAGTTACAGAACTATCTCCGTCTTGTCAGTCACGCTGCCCAAAGAAGTGTGGAAATTACAACTCCAGCATAGTGGTTCCCAAACATGTGCTACTGCAACAATCGTTGGGATATTTGGGAACGGTTGGTTCGGTTTCACTTAATGGAGTTTTATAGTTCTGGTAATGATATAAATATTCGTGAACGCATCATATGAATAGTTTCGTTCCAAGTTCGAAGGATCCCGCAATTGAAAACCTGAGAATCCCAGGACCTCGGCGCTGACAAAGATACCGGGAATGACATCCCTTGTATTGTCCTGTTGACCTCGTCCAATCCGAGTCTGTGCCGTTCTTGTTCCGCAGCGAGAGGCGTACCAGCTCCAGCTGCCGGCGCGGACTGTGGCCAGTTGCCTAGCTCCAGCTGTGCGTGCGTGCTGCTGTGAGTTTTCCAGCTGCAGAGTTTGTGTACGTGCGTGCCGCAGCAACAGACGCCGGCCCGACTGAGTGTGGCGTCCCGTTTCAGACTGACGCGCCGCTGATTGGTAACCGGCCCGACTACAGCACCGTCTCCAGAGGCGGCGAGGAGTGACGGCGACGGCGTCGGGCGGCGCCCCCGCCCGCGACCGACGGACGCCCGCCGCCGGCAGCCCGTCGGCCGGCGGCTCGGTCGCGGGCGTCTGGGAGGCGCCGCAGAGCTGGGCTTTGGGCTTTTAGACACAGGTCGCTTTTCGGGGTGAACGCGCCGTCTTTCGCGCGATGCGTCGCGGCCTGACTGGCTGACTGAGGGGCTCGTCCCCGGTCTTCATGTAGGTTGGTGGACCTGTTTTGAATGGCTTTGTCCGCTGTTTTGCTCGTTGCACGTTTGCACGAACGTTTATACAACGGTCTTAACTCATCTCGTGAAAGACTGTCAGCACATTGTTCTTGAGTCATCCTGTGAAAGACTCCGTCAACAAATCATTCTTAACTCATCCCGTGCAAGACTGCGTCAACACGTCGGCCAGTTCATAGGGCTCTGTTCAACAAAGATCACTCACGCCAAGAAATCTGTGCTTGCTTCACAACTGAAGTACTTAACGTGTGTACTCCTGTAGTTCGTGAACGCCTAAGGTCGACTTGATGTCAACCTAACGATGTGTCAATACTGAATGTCGACACGGCTTGTGATCGTATCTTATTCTCTGTGGGTTGATGTGGGCTATGTCGACACAGCGATGTTCCTGTGGTAAGGGGCCGGCCTCCACCCACTCGGCAGCCGCCGTCGCCTCAAGGACCAGACGAGTACTTGGCAATCTTTGTTTGCCACGTGAGTGGACAAACCCGATGCTGCCGCCACGCAATTCATCCGTCTTGCTGCGATCAATTGGGAAGCATGCTTCCGATAGGTTGGTTCTCTCACCAAAGACTGTGGAGCCATGATGACATTTCTCCCTTCTCCTTCGAGCATGGTATTGGACCGGAGCGTGATAAGCGACAGACATGGTGGCGATCGGTAGGGTTTTTCATACGTTTTAATCGGAGATACAAGGAAACCACGTTCCCTTAGTGCCTCCGTGGGAGACTCATGCCATCTTAACTTTGGGCCGAAGGGCCCATGGACGTGAACAGCATCACAGACACACAGACAGACACAGGCACACAGACACACACAGACAGACAGACACACAGACAGACAGACAGACACACAGACAGACAGACACTACAGACAGACAGACACACAGACACACAGACAGACAACAGACACACACACACACACACACACACACACACACACACACACACACACACACACGCACACACACACCACACACACCACACACACACACCACACCACACACCACACACACACACACACACACACACACACACACCACACACACACACACACACACACACACACACACACACACACACACACACACACACACACACACACACACACACACACACACAAACACTACATGGAAGCCCGGAGTGGATCAATCTCATCCGATGGTCTCACCCTGTGTGCGCCATAGATTACCTCCGAGTACAGTTGGCAACGGCTGCCTATATTTAGCTGGTCTAATGTTAAAACCTGTGATCGTCGCGTTATGAAGCGTAATACACAGCCAAGGAACTTTTGCCTTTGCCCGCGCACGGATACTGCACGGTTGTAGCAGAGGCAATACGCGCGTTACGGAGACACGTCTGCATGGGGGTCCGCAGTGTATCAGCCAACGCCCCATGGGGCGGACGGCTGGCACGTCGGAGCCGTTCCGCATCAGCCTCGTTTCGAAGGATGTGCGCGTGTCATCAAGGGTCCTGCTGGCCTGACCTCGATGCGAGCACGGCTCTTATCTACACAGGTCAGTTGTACGGACTTGGTGTGGGCGGCTGGCGTAGGTCAACAGCGGCTCGTCGCATCTTTATGGCCTGATCAATGCGCTGCGAAAACACGAGAATTCAGTCGTGAGGACAACACACGCGTATTTAGCCGTGAGAACGACAGACGAGAACTCGGCCGCGAGAAGAACAGACGAGAACCCAGCCGTCACTTGGGCTAAGGACGGTAACAGTGACATTGTAATGTGATCAAATCTTGTGCCGGATGAGTCCAGAAGCCTACGAATCAAATCCAACTTGATTCATGGAAAATTTGAGTAATTCTTGATTGGATCATAACTCTGAGCCGAATTGACCACAAGCCTGCTCGACACCGACCGTCGTGGGATCGTCGCAGGCAGGCATCGAAGCAAAGCAAGCTCGACATTCTCGCTAGTTTCCTTCGTTCCATCAGAGTTTCAGCCTGAGACCACCGCTGGTGACATCGGTAAACTCGGGGGGGGGGGGGGGGCGATAGAGTGCCTTGCGACCGTGGAGAGACCGCGACGGCGACATTGCCGGCAGCGCGATCGCTCTCGGTGCTGTGGACCCGAGCTAGACATGTTCCCCCCGGATGAACAGCCGCACATCTCCCGACTGGGCGCTGGTTGGCCATTTAGAGCCGCAGAGAAGGATTTGGTCCCCGTTTTCCCATGTGTTGTACCAGTACGGTTGCCTTGTGCCCTCCAGGTGTTACCGATGATGCTTGGCTGACGCGGGTGAGATCACCAGCCGGGACGAACCGGCGTTTCACTGTAACTGCTCCAGTCGAGGTGTTCGTCTTATCATTCACAATGCCGCGTCGCTGTTCCTCTTTCTGCTCCTGCAGATGGCGTCCCCAACCACCAGTCGCTGGGAGCAAAGCATCCGACGTTGCTGCCGGCTGCCTGGTTACACTGCTGACTCCCGCTCTTGCGGGCCGCTTCTGATGGATGCTTCTGACCCTGGCGTCGGCTGTCCGTGATGCCTGCTCCTGACGCTGACGTCGACCGTCCGTGATGGCTGCTCCTGACGCTGACACCGGCTGTCCTTGATGGATGCTCCTGACGCTGACACCGGGTGTCCCTGATGGCTGCTCCTGACGCTGACACCGGCTGTCCTTGATGGATGCTCCTGACGCTGACACCGACTGTCCTTGATGGATGCTCCTGACGCTGACACCGGCTGTCCCTGATGGCTGCTCCTGACGCTGACACCGGCTGTCCTTGATGGATGCTCCTGACGCTGATACCGGCTGTCCCTGATAGCTGCTTCTGACGCCGACACTGGCTGTCCTTGATGGATGCTCCTGACGCTGACACCGGCTATCCCTGAAGGATGCTCCTGACGCTGACGCCGGCTGTCCCTGATGGCTGCTCCTGACACTGACACCGTCTGTCCTTGATGGATGCTCCTGATGCTGGAACCGGCTGTCCTTGATGGTCGCTGTTGAGCTTGGCGACGGCGGCTCTTGACGCGCCTGTTGGCCGCCCCTGACGCCGATGGCAGCGGCTCTTGACGCGCCTGTTGGCCGCCCCTGACGCCGATGGCAGCGGCTCTTGACGCGCCTGTTGGCCGCCCCTGACGCCGATGGCAGCGGCTCTTGACGCGCCTGTTGGCCACCCCTGACGCCGATGGCAGCGGTCGCTGCGCGGCGCCAGGAGCCGCCAACCGGCCGGCTGGCGCGGCCTGGCTCCCATCACCGCCGGCGACCCAGACTTGTGCTCGTCGCATCATCGTCTCGGAAACATAAACAGGCGGTGGCCGGCGCCGTGCGGGGCGGGCGGCGTCGCTCAGTAGACGCCGGCGCCGCCGCGGACGGCGGCCGCTCCCCCGTGCCGACGGTCCCCGGCGAGCAGGAGCGCGCAGCGCGCCGCCCGCCGCCCGCCGGCGCCATGCCGCCCTCTCCGGCGCTGCTGCTGCTGCTGCTGCTGACGGCCGCCAGCGCCAGCGCCAGGGCGCAGGAACCGGACTACAACGGGCCCAACGGCAACTACGATGACTACGGTGCCGGTAAGCTGCACGATGAGGGGTGAGCAGGACTGCCAGGCCCTCCAGAGTCGCGCGGTAGGTATTGGGTGCTTTTTGAAAGACAGGAGTGGGTCTCAAAATTACTTGGTAGAATGGGGTGGTCTTTAATGCTTCCTGGAAGTTAGTGATAGATATCGATGGATCCTGGTAAGCGCTGGCTGTCTGCAATGTCTTTGCAGATTTCGGCTGGTAGCAGATTTTCGGTTGGCGCGTTCCAGCAGGCCCTAATACGTCATGGCGCTTTCCGACAAATTTTGTCACGTCATGACCCCTGACATCACGGTGTATATGATACCTCACAAACCATGGAAGCTCGGAAAACCTCACAAATTTGATAAGGCCATGACACCTTGGCGAGACATAGTGCTGGATGGAAGATCTCGAAAAATTATAAGACCTTCCCAGAGACCTTAATACCTCATTAATTATATATAATGGCCTCATGCCTATAATAGCCATGAGGCCTCATGGCAACCCACACAGATCAAGACGTGATGACAGGCCGCAGATCACGACGGCTTCGAGCAGCTCTCGCTGGGCCCTGACAAGCTGTCGACGAGGCGGATCTGACCGGAAGGCGAGCAGCGCGCCCCGCGGGTCCCTCTCCACGTCCTGCCACGAGTTATCTTCATGGATTCATCCTCCCGCGTGCTTTGCCACGAGACCTCTCCCGCGTCATCCCGCCAGACTGTCCATCTCTACCTCGGCGGGTCCCCCGTACTCTGTCGTCGAGAATCCGTTCCGCAGCTCAAGCTGTCACCAGTCCGTCCTTCGTCATTCGCTTCAGGAGCCTTTAACGCCGTCGAGCACTTTTGCGGACAGTGGCTGCAGTGTAACGCAGCCGGAATAGTTCATTACATCCAAGCACCATAAGCTTGCAGTTCCTCCGCCGTAAAAGAGCATTGGGTATTTGCGCATGGCTTCTGTTACGAACCGATAGCCTCCGCCATCTGATGGGGAAGGCTGTGACTCCGAGGCCAGCCAAACCATTGTACTCAATGAGAACCTGTCCGTTTTTTATGAAGGCAGAACGAGTGGTGTGGACACAAAACACGCAGTACCCTTCAGTGTATGTTTGCATCATGCGTGCACAGTTTCTTAATTTATACGGTCCTCGGTCGCCGACCTATGACGGGCACAAACGGTTAATGTCATAAAAATGATTATGTGCCGTCATTCCTGTTGTTAAAAGGCATTGACAGCAAACTTACATCCTCGTTTCGTTGGTTGACTGGTTTTTGGTATCATTGGATTGCTAACGTCCCGTCCGCATATTATATGGCATAAATAGTGAGGTAAGCTGGCATGAGACCGGCTCGTGTTGGCACCTACCATACGTTTTTAACAAGAGAAATTAATGATATCAGATCGGCTTGGAAGGCTGCCAAATGGCACAGGGACGTGTCTGGAATACTATGAATATAAACTCCTTCAAGGTTGAGGGCTTCAGGTCTGGTCATATCTGGCATCAGCTTATAGCGTTACGATTCTGGACAAGACCTTGTTTGTTTGTGTTTTGTGTTTGTTCAGCATCTAGCTTTCAACGCTTTTCGAGCGCCTGTCCCGGGCCTTCGATTCCATTTAAAGAAACGTTCAATGCAATGACCTGACCTCATTCGGCACAACCTGACTTTACCTTATATGTTCCGATCAAATTTTTTTACCGTCGATTTCGGTATTTTACACCTTAATGGTGCAACACTTGTCAAAGTGTGAATCCAACCTTGTGACATTTTATATGCTACACTAACTTGCTTGGATGCAGTAAAAGGTTTAAAATGCTAGTCGGTAAGAGTGTTTATGAGGCCGGCCGGCTAGAGTTGATCTTCCTGTTCTGTAAGAAACTATATCCGCGCGATATCTCGGTCCAGCTCTTTGAAAGCCTTCCAACCACTCCGACTTAATGCAGCTGGTGAATTTGAAACCGTGACCCGACCATCTTGAACCATCTTGTTTGACCTCATGGGACTCCCTAAGGCGTGGTTTGGCCTTGTCATTGGCATTTATGTGTATGCGGATTCAGTTACAAGCCTGGAACTGCGACTTCAGCATAAAAATGTAAACCTCGTTTGGACTGTGATTTTCCGCTCCCGCTTATGACTAATCCGACATTTTTACCATGTACCTCATGGGTTTAACCGACCCAACTTGATCCCATTTTTATGTTCCGTCATGACAGAACGCATACGTGTATGCTCTTTTTCTATAAAATGAGAGTAAAATACCCCATTTATCCACAAAGCGAAACTTTGTGGCTAAGACGGTCATCAGCCTTAGAGGGCGGCTTTTTTTTAGCACGCTTGACATGTGTCATTTGGAAGCCAAACAAGCCCACTATACGGATGTGTTTTAGTTTCAGAAGACCCGAAAATAAGTTGACCTCAGGTCAAATATTATGACATGTGCACTACAAAACACTGAATGCCCCACAAAATGACTGACCCTGACCAGTTGAATCTGACTGCGGGAATGGCGACACCTTCACTAACTAGGGCACGACACATTATGACCCAAACTGTAACCTAGGCTCAAAAGGCAGCATGGCAGGTAAAGAGGGCGTACAAAAAGGGCATTAAAGGTTTCGTGACACCCGACAATCTCCTGTCCTCGAAATACCGTAGGAATCGTGCGGACGCCCGGCCAGACGCAGGTTCCATGCAACTTCCCTCTCCGTTTCCCACGCAACCAGTATTGATCGAGAGCCCGTTGCACCCCGAACCCAGGTGAATACAACTGTTCGCTGAGTAATGGGTCTGTAGTCCGTTCACTCATCTTTCCTGTATCCCTTTATCCTTACGCTTCCCCTGCATAGCGTAGTCAAATTGGCCGGGTGCAGGTCAGTGGGTTGCCATACCACCACCGCACGGAATATCTGCATCTGAACTGCTGAATGTCTGCACCTGAACTGCTGAATGTCTGCATCTGAACTGCTGGCCACGGGGGCGCTGACGGCTGTGCTCAAGCTCAGTTTGTGCCTGTTCCGCTCTTGGTCGCCAGCAGTCTGCCTCCGTCCATCCGGCAATGAACGTGCCTCGGAGCGTGCCATCGGGGGCCACAGCCATCCAAATATTGTGTCCAACTCCGAAGGATTTCGTGGGTGCAAGTTGTGGAAGTGGAAAGCTGTCTTGAAGTTATTCTGAGAGCGTCACGGTTACCAGGGACTACATTGATGTTATTTGGCTTACATGCACACGTTTCACTATCAAAATACTTAAGTTATACTCGGTGTTCGCTTCCCATTCGTTCCCATCCCAAACCAAAGCGTATCAAGCCCATCGTTATAACGAAGGCCAGTGGGCACCAAACAGAAGACTGCGTCCAGGAACCTGGGGCCGTGTCCCAGTCCCTTGAACTTCGAGCTCGAGTTTTGGTCCATGCTCACCTTTCCCAACCATGTGTGTAGCTTCCTATTAAGCTGGAGGTCCAGCCCTCCTCCCCAGCTTTGAAAACGAAATGGGTCAAGTCTGGAGGAAACCCGTCTCGGGGGTGTTTTATGGGTGTGTTTCGTCATGCTGCCCAGGAACCCTCCCTAACTTATTTTGTGAAACTGCGTAGCTGCTTCCCACATTGCATAGTTGCCGTGTCCGTATAGGATCATCTCAATGACCCAATGATCAACTCAATGACTCAATGATCATAGGCCGAGTCTATTGGAATTGAGTTCAGTGCGCGTTCGCGGCTGAGCCCAAAATATCTTATTCTGAGTTCATCAGCTTTTACAGGATCGCACAAGACAGTACAGGTATGTAAACAGTTGGCACGATCAGAGGTTATAAACAATAACAGTTTTTTTGTGTGGATGACTGGCATCTGAACCGACTTTTAACTATTTAAATAACCCTGCTAACCATATAGCCTTACCGTTGTCGAGGTACGATAGCCTCACCGAGTTTAAGTAATGAAATCGGACCTGCAGACAATTTTTGCAAAGCTTTATTGGCTTATTTCTTACGCCATTTGACTCAAAATAAGGTGACCTGACCAAACTCAACCGAACACAACGAAAGGCAACCACAACGACCTGACCTGGGCAACAAGGCGCAATCCAATACACTATATACTCTTTTTGAGACTATCGTCTTGAAAACATGCCTTCTGCTACTAAAATTACTTTCGGCCACAGTAGAAATTCAGATAAAACCAAAGCTTCGACAGGGAACAGGTTTCAGAGGCCTGAGACCGGCCGGGCTTCGACAGGGAACAGGTCTCAGAGGCCTAGGACCGGCCGGGGTTCGACAGGAAACAGGTCTCAGAGGTCTGAGACCGGCTGGGCTTCGACAGGGAACAGGTCTCAGGGGCCTGAGACTGGCCGGGCTTAAACCTTTGCAGCCAAGGGCACCGACCTAGAATAACGTTGGACAATTTCTAGCTAAACCGCCATCCTACGCTCCTTTTCACGCCAAGTCCGTGAGGGCAGTGCTACCAACTCTTCCTAAAGGCGGAGCCTGGTTAGAGGTATGTCTGAGCTCAGTCCCTGGCCCGGGGCTTATTGTTATCATCCCGCCAGCGCCTCTCGCGGCGCACATTGCTTGAACGGCTCGCCTGGTGCCCCCCCCCCCCCTCACACTTATACCCAATGCGACAAAATTGGGGCCTGCCACAGACGTGATAGCACTATAAATTATGCTGTACGAGGTTGTATTGTATTGTGTAGAATTTTTAATGCGTTCATGCAGTGTGGCTTTTCAGTATCAGCGTCATCATGTGCAAAGTGTAAAAGGAACGATCACGAAGCAAGGCAAAGGCACCTGGAAAAATGACAGTAGTCGTAGAAACAACGTGCATATACATAACAGAGTGCAAGTGAAAACCATTGATTAATGGATAAATTTCGAAAAGCCAATGCAGATAGGCACAGAGCGAGCGGCCCTCAGGCCTTCAGCGCTCTCAGCGACGCACTAAACGCGGACAGCGTCTGACGCTCATCGCGGCCAGGGGGCAGTTAGTTCCACCAGGCGGCAGCACCGTAGCGAAGCTGCTCTTTGTGGCCAAGAGTTTGCACCTCGGCAGTCCCAGAGCTCCGGCCTCGGATGAGCGCGTGGCCTGGCGAGACGCCGCGGATCGGGGGCAAACATTCAACGAATTGCCAGCGTGCTGAGCTGGTTGTGAAGGGCTTTATGCACTTTAACGAGGTCCCTCCGCTCCACCTGGACCCCGACCCAGGAACGTTAACGCCGAACAAGCCCTCCCGACGCCGTACGCCAGTCGTAATCCGAGCATCGAAGCGATTCAATCTTCTTCATCCGGGCTAGCTGATTTTTTGTTGTTTCGCTCCACACAAAAATGCTGTATGAAACGCGGGGAAATGCGTGCGTTTCAATCAGCAATATCAACATTTCTAGGTTAAGGTGGTGGCAGAACCGTTAAAGAGATATCAGAGGGGCGTTGCGCCTTCTGGTTGTTGATAATCGTCTGAGCGTCTGACCATCTGACCGTCAGGCTTCTGATAAATTATTGTTTCGCTCATCTTGTGCATATATGAGTATAAACTATTCATCATGCATATGACCGCTTAAAAAGCTACAGGAGGCAGAAAGATGCAAATTCGTCGTGCACGCGTTCCGCGCCATGGACACGTCACACACGTGATACCTTTCTACGTGTGCAATTGCCGGGCTCCATGTGGAGCGTGTGAACAGTGGATGCTTCTTCACGAGCGTGATGCAATGCTGCACTGGGCAAGAGGGATTTAGGGACCATAATCCCTCCACCTGGAGGTGGCGGGGATGACCCTGGGACCGAAGACTCCTGTGCTAATTTCAAGTGAGACTCCTGTGGGGTTTCTAAAACATAAAAAAACGGACCCGGAGGCATCAAATTACAAGCCCGAGCCTGTCAAGGTCCTTGAATAAAAAACATGACTATTCAGCAACGAAGGGCCTAGACCCTTGGCTTGGAGCCCTCCCCCCTCCCGCCTATGATTCAACCTAACACCTTTCTCCGGCAAACTCCTGGCCACGCCACTGCTCCCACCGGCCGGCGTGCAGGGGTGCCGTTCGCGCCACCCGCGGCCACCCGAGATTCGAGCACCACTCGGCCGCCGGCTCCGGTCTTATTTGGGTCATCTGGATGTAATGTAAACGCTGACCGGTCCGGGCCCGACTTCATAAACAAAATAGACACGGTCCGCGTGTTTGACGGATGGCCATTTGGACAGCCCTGCGACGAGTGCACGGCCGATGTGCTGGCACGACGGAAGTGCTAACGATCCGAGCAGACTCGGCCGGCCGGCCGCCAGGCGGTTTTTGTGCAGCGGGTCGCCGGTTGATGACTCCGGAGAGAGAAACATGAGCGGGAGGAGCGGCAAAAAGCAACAAACCATGCGGCTGCTCTGGCACCACAGCGAGGGGAGAGGCGGGATCGCTGGGCTTGGCTGCTCTTTGCCTTCTCTGCTGATGCATGCGTCTTGGTGTTGCCATGGGTTTCCGTTCGAATCTCGGTCGCTATGGAGCTGGGCTGCGGACGGTGTGTGCAGGTGGGTGAACGCAACATTCAGCGCTCGCTTGCCTCGCAAACATTCAGCTTCGGTCGGCATGGAAGAACCGCGCGTGAATTGCATTGCAAAAATACATGCAAAATGCTGCTACCATCGTTGCAAGCAATACTGAAAATAGGCACACTCATAACTTTACGCCGTTCGTATCGTGCACATTTCCACAATTTCGCGCTGCAAGCGCTGCTTGAAGTGACGGGCTCTGCCGCACCTGTCGGTATCATCGTTGACCCTCCGTGTCGGCACATTCGGCGCCGGCTCGAGCATCGCCGCGGCGCACATACTCGCCTTGCTTCCTGTTTGCCAGCGCCGAGTTTGTTTACCAACCCTGCGGCCAAAAACATTCGAGAGGGCCTGCAGCATGGCCGGCGCGGGCGCCGCAGACTCATCAGCTGGAGACCGGGACGCGGACGGGCGGCGGCTGAAGGGACGGCATGACCAGCCTAGCACAACCGTTGCTGTCATCCTCACGCATGCTCCGTGGCTTGCTCACCGGGCCTTGCTAACGCGTCGCTGGCAGGGATGTTCGTCGCACAGCTGAATCCAGTCGAGGACCATGTCGCGATACACCGTGTGGGTGAACTCAGTGATCATTTTATATGTTCAACTTTTGGCTACGTTGGCGGCTGATAACTTACTCGGCTTTTGGCCTGACTTAAGACTAAACACTCACCATACTCACCGCGCGCCCTCAGTGCTGAAAGAGATGTGATCGGGCTGAGGTTAGTTATCCAGTGGTGCGTTGTGTGTCAAGTTTTGTCAATCCGCTCGTGTTACGATAACACCTTGCCGGTCGCCTTGACGCGTTTAATTTCAATTCTTTCATCATGAATCGTTCAATGCATATCAGCAGCAGCTCTGTTAAAAGGGGCAATCGCGTGCGCGTGAACTAGCTGGAATGTTCCTACTAGCTCCTATGCCACACATGCTTTGATCAGGAACTGGACGTGGTCTGTCGCGGTAGCTAGCGTCTGTTCAGCGACTCCACGTGCTGTCGTTGGACGTGGCCACTTCCCGCGACGCCGATCACAGGCCCGTAGCCACCCCGCTGGGCGCAGAGCATGCCACGAGTCGCGGCAGCGCTGACGGCCGAGCGAGCTGCCAGACACTGCCGTCTGGCTTCTGGCAGCGGGCTAGCTACGGGCCTGCATGGCGGCGGGGCGGGCGCGCACGCGCGAGAGCCGGCCGCTTACAGCCGCGCCGCGCGCCGCTCTGTTACAGACAACTACGACTACCCCGGCTACGACGACTTCGAGAATGGCGACGGCAGCTACGTAGACCGCCAGGACAGTGCCAGCTCCAGCTCGTCCAGCGCCACGAACAGTGGCGGGGAGAGCACCTACAGCTACACGTACGAGAGCAGCAGCTTCGGCGGCGAGGCGGCCGCTGCGCAGGAGCGCCAGGCGGCCGAGGCCCAGGCACGCGCCGAAGCCGAGGCCGAGAGGCGCCGTCTGGAGCTGGAGCGCGTCGAAGCCGAGAGGGAAGCCAGGCGGCTGGAGCTTGAAGCGCGCTCTCGCGCGGAAGCCGAGAGGAACGCCAGGCGAATGGAGCTGGAAGCGCGCGAGAGGGAGCAGGCTGAGGCGCGAGCCAGGCAGCAGGCCGAAGCCGAGGCGAGGTGGCAGGAGGAGGCCGAGGCCCGAGAGGCCGAGGCCCGGGAGCAGGCCCAAGCCCGGGCGGAAGCCGAGGCCCGCGAGCAGGCAGAGCGAGATAGGCTGCGCGGAGGTCTGGCGGCAGGCGAGGCGGCGACGGCCGCCGGAGCGTTCCCCAGCGGCTGCACGTTCGAGGGACAGCGGTACGCCGAGGGTGACACGTTCCGGCCTGACTCGTGCACCACGTGCACGTGCAGTGGCGGCCAGGTGGACTGCCAGACGGGCGACTGCGATCAGGACCCGTGTGATGGCGTCATCTGTCCAGAGACCGAGTGCGACACGCAGGAGTACATCCCTCTGGGCCAGTGCTGCCCGATCTGCGCCGGTCAGTATGGCGTCCCGCGCAGCCCGCTCCCGCTCCCGCGCCCGCGCCCTGACCCGGGCGACGCCCGGTCCTCCCCAGACGCGCACCTGACTGCGACCTGAGACAGAATCGCATCCTCGACCCGCGTCGGGGCATACAGTGGCAGTCGGTGTTTTCTGATTGAGAGTTATGCAGACAGGCATGCCAGCACATTTCCAATGCCACAACAGGCTCCGGGCGCACTCCTTGTAGTTGGTTGTTTCGAGCGGTTCAATCAGCGATGCGCAAAGATCTTTGCACATCGTGCGCCCCGTTGTGCGCGCCGTTGAAAACCGTCGTTAACGGGCCCACTGGGGTGTGCAGGGTCCAGCCGCGGACGCCCATGCCACTTCTGTTTTGTTGCAGACGTTACTGACGGTGTCGGCACCGGTGTCGGAGGTCCAGACGCAGACCAGGAGGAAGGACCGCAGCCGGTTAGTGGAGTCCCTCTCTCTCTCTCTTCCCCCAATGGTGTGTCATCCCAGCTGTGTCTGGTGGAACAGCGGCGCGGCTCTTGCGTTTCGCACCGATCAATAACTGCGGTTTCAAGCGCTAGGTGCACCTCTGGCATGTCCATACCCTGGATTTTGTGGCCTCAGCGTCGACTGCAATAGCCACCGACGGATGGGAGATGAAAGCGGGACCCTAAAGACGCTCCGAAACGCCGCATCTGGGATTATGGGGTGCTCTGCAGTTTTTTTCGCTCAAGCAATCTGGTGTTTGTTGTGTCTGTCGGGTCCACTGTCCCAGCATCAACAAACATAAACTGCATTACGTCGCACCCCTCCTTCCAAAACCATGGCATGTGTCTCTTGTCATCTGCATAATCCCTGCAACTAAATTGTTCTTTCATGTGACATGACTCACAGCATCAGCCAACCCGCCGGCGCAGCTGAGCCGCGCGCCCCACTGGGGCAGCGCGGTCACGCACTCACGGACGGTGTTCTCTGCCGCAGCCAGTGGCGGGGCCGACAGGAGACCCGGGCCCGCCGGGCTCGCCGGGTGTGCCGGGTACGCCGGGCAGTCCAGGCACGCCCGGCCAGCCTGGCGGCCCGGGCCCGACGCCCGACCCGGGGCCCTACATCCAGCAGCTGCAGGCGTCGCTGGGCGGCGACAAGGGCCCGCCGGCGCAGCCGCTCTACCTGCAAGCACAGACAGGACCGGCCGGCGCGCGCGGCTCGCCAGGTCAGCCCGATGACGCGCCGTGACGGCCTAGTGACGCCGTGACGTCACCGTGACTTGGTCACGTGCCGTGATGCAGGGATGTGCTCCGCTCCGCCTGACCAGGCGCGGCCGGCTGTCCGATTTGAATCCGCCTACACGGTTATTAAACGAATGTTTTACGGTCGCTGGAATTGTTTCCTCCAGCTGCATTTGGATCGGAGTCGCCGACAAGTATGCCTTGCTGCGTGGTCACCGGCACCAACGCCCAAGCGGGCCGAACTGCTGGATAATTTCTCGCTACGCCAGCAGTTCAACCAAATAGCACTGTGGGAAATTTACCATGCTTGCAGCTCCATGGCACGGTCCCCGTGGTGCAGCCTTGTCTCCTTTTCGGGAAAATGGCATGCGGTATCTGCGTCCCTGCTAAGCGTCTGCCAGCGTTTTCGCAAAACGTCCTGCATACTGGACCCCAGGCAGTTGGGACGCCTGAAGCATTGACTCAGGCGTGTGCCCTTCCCAGCGCAGTGTGATGTGGCGTGCTCTCTGGCTTGGTGTGACAGTTTTGTGACGGGGGGTTGCTCGGCCGGTAGGTCCGCCGGGTCCGGCGGGACCGCAGGGTTTCCAAGGAGTGCGCGGAGAGCCGGGGGATCCAGGACCTCCGGGACCGGTCGGCAGCCATGGACCTAGAGGAATCCCCGGCATCCCCGGCAAAGACGTGAGCGATCCCCAGCAAAACAGCTCTGCACTCGGCTACCGTTAGCGACGGCTGCCTTTGCTGCGCTTCTGTTGAATTTGCTGTTTTATGTTATCAGCTGTGTAGGGAGTTTCTCAGCGCATGGCTGTGTCACCTGTGATCGGCAGCGAAAATTCGTTGACGCAGGTTACTCCGGCGTGAAGGTGTCTGCCATGGCCTTGATCGCGACTGACTTCTGACGCATCCGCAGGGCGTAGGATCGCTGCCCAGCCCTAGCTGTCACCCCAGCGAACGACATCCGTACTGTATCCTGTCATGTCAAAGCCCCATGCCATATATCCATATTTGTTCTCACGCTCGTAATTACAGGGTGTGAGAACCTCAAAAACAATGATTTAATTCTCATGCATAGACCAGTCAATCTTTCGCCCTATCGTTGTATTCGATATTGGCTTTGGAACGTGGCTGTGGTCGCCCCGTCGAAGCTGTGCCTCGTCACGCCTCTGATGCGCACCGCCGCCAGGGCGAAAACGGCGAGGACGGCTCCCCCGGCCCGGCCGGCGCGCAGGGGCCGCCGGGGCCGCGCGGCCTGCCGGGCATGCCCGGTATGCCCGGACCCAAGGGCCACCGCGGCTTCTCCGGCACGGACGGCGCCAAGGGAGAGCTCGGTCTGCCCGGAGAGAAGGGCGGCATCGGACCGTCCGGCCGCCCCGGCGAGCCCGGACCGCTGGTGGGTGCGGCGGGCCACGCCTGCGTCGCCCCTGGCGGCAGCGACACGGCACACTGATCCCGCACATTCAGCACACCGGTCTCTGCGTCCTGTATTCTTATGCCGACGATTGCCTTGCCTGCTTTTAAATGTTACTTTTACGTACAACGATTGACTTTTTCGTCAGCCATAATTGTATTCTGCTGCTTTGCCCCCATTTCGGTGTTCTCAGCCACGTCTGGATGACTGAGCGCCCACTAGTGTTCGTAGAGTTGCTGTAACACCTTTCGATCGGCCCGTGTGAACAATGTACGCAGAGTCGATGTGGCACCCTTCGTTCGGCCCGCGTAACCAATGTGCGCAAAGTCGATGTAGCACTCCGCGTTCGGCCCGTGTGACCAATGTACGCAAAGTCGATGTAGCACTCCGCGTTCGGCCCGTGTGAACACTGTTCACAGCTACGCGTGTCGCACACGTCTAAGCTGTTCCGTCCTCCGCCCCCGCAGGGTCCGGCCGGTCCCCGCGGAGAGCGTGGCAGGGACGGCCCGCCCGGCCCGGCCGGCCTCAGAGGCATTGATGGCATCGCTGGACCGCCTGGTCCGCCGGTAAGTAGCATCTCGCCACCAATGCACCATCCTCTGTCATGCAGTTGTACTTGTACTTGCGGTTGTATGTACATGCGGTTGGAAGTGCCGGTTGGACTTAGCTGCCTAATATAGAAAGGCGTTATCTCTCACCTCCCGGAGGAAATGACCTTTTTCATATCGGCATGCTCCCCAGCCTTTCGCAGTCAACCCAGCACCGTCAGCGGACTTAGCCGGCCAGGAGCCCTGACGCGGTGTATCACTAGCCGGCCAGGAGCCCTGACACGGTGTATCACTAGCCGGCCAGGAGCCCTGACGCGGTGTATCACTAGCCGGCCAGGAGCCCTGACGCGGTGTATCACTAGCCGGCCAGGAGCCTTGACGCGGTGTATCACTAGCCGGCCAGGAGCCCTGACGCGGTGTATCACTAGCCGGCCAGGAGCCCTGACGCGGTGTATCACTAGCCGGCCAGGAGCCCTTACACGGTGTATCACTGGCCGGCCAGGAGCCTTGACGCGGTTTATCATTAGCCGGCCAGGAACCCTGACACGGTGTATCACTAGCCGGCCAGGAGCTCTGACGCAGTGTATCACTAGCCGGCCAGGAGCCCTGACGCAGCGTATCACTAGCCGGCCAGGAGCCCAGTTGCGGTGTATCACTAGCCGGCGCCTGGCCGGCTCGGCTCGCCTCCGCCGGCTAGCCGCTGACCACCGCCGTCCGCCGACAGGGCGCCGCCGGCAAGTCCGGTCCGCCTGGCTTCCCGGGCAGTCCCGGCGCCAAGGGTGACCGCGGTAACGAGGGGCCCAAGGGCAGCGTCGGACTCCAGGGGCCTCGTGGTGAGTGAGCTGGACGGGTGGCGGTGCTGGCGCTGGGGCCGCCAGCTCGCACTGCCCGCCGCTGCCAGGCGATCTCGCAAAGACTACACTGCGGCCGCTCCCACCTGCCCAGGGTCAGCCTTCGGAATCTGTGCTCTGCACTTCTCTACATACTTGCGCGTGTGCTTAGTCAGCATTCTCTCGGCGTCCTCCTCGCTTGACCGTTACGCCAGTGACACGCAACTTGTGACGCTTATGACGGACCCGTGACGCCTGTGACAGACCCGTGACGCCTGTGACAGACCCGTGACGCCAGTGACAGACCCGTGACGCCTGTGACAGACCCGTGACGCCTGTGGTGGATCCGTGACGCCTGTGACGGACTCGTGACGCCTGTGACAGACCCGTGACGCCTGTGACAGACCCGTGGCGCCTTTGACAGACCCGTGATGCCTGTAACAGACCCGTGACGCCTTTGACAGACCCGTGATGCCTGTAACAGACTCGTGATGCCTGTAACAGACCTGTGACGCCTGTAACAGACCCGTGACGCTTGTGACAGACCCGTGACGCCTGTGATAGACCCGTGACGCCTGTGACAGACCCGTGACACCTGTGTTGGACAGGTGAGGCCGGCCAGCCCGGCCTGCCCGGCGAGCAGGGCGCCCCCGGGCGGCCCGGCAAGGACGGTGCCGACGGCGAGAAGGGCAGCTTCGGCGCGCCCGGCCCGATGGGTGCGCCCGGCTTCCCGGGACCGCGCGGTCCGCCTGGCAACACGGGCAGTCCCGGGCTGCCTGGACAGAAGGGAGAGCAGGTACGGATCACAGCATCGACCACAAGGGCGTGGCGCCGCCGCTAGCCGGCGCCGGCGCGGCGCGGCGGCGCCGGCTGCACTGCGACCTGACGTAACATAGACTCGCTGGTCCACCGAGTTGCGTCCACTTGAGCGATGCTGTTTGTAAGCCTGTTCGTAGACAAAAAAGAAAAAATACTGGCATGTCTTCAAATTACTTTTGTCATCGCGTGCATGTCCATGAATAATTGCATGACAATCACTTGTTTCGAATGTCAGTGGTGCTCTCCACAGTTCAACAGCCACCAAGGTTCTCGCATGAGATCACGCCGCCTACGTGTGAGCTGCTCTCTTACAACTGCCCGTTCATTGCAGGGCCTGACCGGCACCCGCGGCCTGAAGGGCTCGTCGGGCGCCAAGGGCGACTCTGGTGAGGCCGGGGCGCGCGGGGCGCCAGGGCCGCCGGGCTCTGCCGGCCGGCGCGGCCGACGTGGTCTGCGCGGCCCGCCGGGTCTGCTCGGGCCGCAGGGCGAGCGCGGCCCGCCCGGCACGCGCGGCCTGCCCGGCGCCGACGGCCCGCCCGGCCTGAAGGGCTCCGTGGGCGACCGCGGCCAGCCGGGCAGGATGGGTCTTAAGGGCTCCAGCGGCGACACTGGCCGGCCCGGCCCGCCCGGACTGGTTGTAAGTTGCTGTGATGCTCATGAGAAATGCGAAACTGACGACCAGCCGCTCCGCTGCAGTGCATAGCTTGTAGCACACCATGTACAACCCACTTGCTCTCTGTGGAAGCCCGCACAGGAACAGCTGAAGTGTCGACTCTACTGAGCACAAGCTGATGACCTCAGGTACGGCCTCTGGTGATGTCCGTCACTGTTGCCTGCCCTGAGGTGCAGCCTATGGTGCTGCCCCTTCCCGCCGCTCACCCTGACCCCGATGACCGGTGGTAGGGCGAGCGGGGAATGCAGGGGCGCACTGGCAGTCCGGGACGCCCCGGCCGCACCGGAGACCGCGGCCTGCCCGGAGCCGACGGCAAACCTGGCGAGATGGGCGCCACCGGCTCCACCGGCCTGCCCGGCCCAATCGGACCCATCGGCGCGCAGGGACGACCGGTGAGTCGACGCCGACGTTCGGCGCCGCGCCCGACCGCTTGCAGCGCCGAGACAAGCGGGGCGTCGGCGGGCGGCCGAGCTGAACATTGCGCCATGCCTGTTGGGTCCAAAGGTCTGTGGACATAGGCTTTAGTCGTCTCGCACCGTGTGGGAAGGCATGCGACGATCATTGATGCGCCGATTTAACACACTTTGAGCGCTTAAGCGCAAGTCGAGGAGTTCGCGGCCGGACCAGTAGGGATGAGTGCTGATGGCGGTTAGTACTTGGCATTATGCTCGGTGTTATTCTCGACGACTCGCTGGCACCGTGTTGTTGGTTAGTCTTTGTTTGGGATTTGTATACGATAGTATCTTGGTCGCAACCTAATTCATCTATTATTTGATTACTTTACTTCCGCGGAGGACGGTATGCCGTCACCGGCGCCCGAGGCCCGGCCGGTGGCGGCGGCGAGTTGAGCTGTGCTCCGAGCGCCCCCACCTGTGCCTCACCAGGGAGAACCGGGCAAGGACGGCAAGGCGGGCGACGCTGGCCCTCCGGGTCCTCGCGGCGACGCCGGCCGCGACGGACCCATGGGTCCCATCGGGCCGCCGGGACCGCCCGGCTCGGCCGGAGCGCGTGGGCCCGTCGGACAGTCGGGAGCCAGAGGATTCCAGGTCAGCAGGCCACACGACGTCCGTAAGCGGAGGCGATGGGCGCTTCCAGAGAAGCGTCATGCGTGGTGGACCCAAACGTCTTCTGGACATTTACTTTAATTGTCTTGCAGTGCATGTGAGAGGCAGGTGGCAGCCACTCACCTGTAGACTAGGCATACTTGCAAGCCATTCGCTTCGCGGCTGGACCGGTACAGATGAGAACTGGTGGCAGTTACCATTCGGCGTTATACTCTGCGGCTGTTGTGTGGTTTGGTAAGCCAGCGAAGCTCGGCGGCGGCCGGACTGCGCGGACGAGCGGTGTTCACACCTGTCACGTGACCTGGCAGGGTCCACCGGGCACGCCCGGCAGTCCCGGTAACCCCGGCAAGGACGGCGAGCCGGGCCTGCAGGGGCCCACCGGCCCACCCGGAGAGAGCGGGCCCAGAGGATCGCGAGGATTCAGAGGTACGCACCCCGCGTCCGAGCCCGCGGCCGAGCCGGCTCGCGGACGCTCAGCCGACGTCTGCGCCTCACGAAAACCAGCCACTTCCAAGTAATGCTTCCTGCTCTGTTGCAAATGCATTGCGAATCAACTTCAGTTGTGTGAATAATTCGTCAGAGGAACGTCTGGTTTATAATCTTCGAGATGCAAAGCGAATAGCAATGTCCCGGTCGCGGTCACCCAGGTGGCCGCAACTATGCGGCGATGTTGTCCTGAGCTGGCAGCTGACTTGTATAGAGGGAATTTTACCCTAGCCCATGCATCCACTGGTCAAGCTGTTCGTTGTTTTCGGAGAAACAAGCTCGACTTTGTAAGAACTGAGTGGTGATTGATGCGATTGGCTCCGATCAGTCTTTTGATTCAAATTTACGCCTTGAGCCGATTCGTCCGCTTAACTGTTTAACATTTAGGGCGTCACAAGACCACGTCGATGTTTCTACGAAACGTCAGAACGCTCTGCCATGCATCACCGCGGAGCCTCAGTGCCTGGACTCCGCCCGATCCGGCCCAAACGACCGGGCTGAGGGGGGCTGACCGGCACGCTGGGCTGACCGGTGCTGCCATCTGTGACAGGCGAGCGCGGCGCCATGGGTCCCGCCTGGGGAGGCGGGCGCTCGCGGCGAGCAGGGTGGCCATCGGACCGGACGGACCGCCCGGACCACCCGGACCCACCGGCGCCAAGGGACACCGCGGAGGACCGGGACTTGTGGTCAGCACGCGCCGGACGCCTCGCGCTGACGTGGCGCGAGTGTGGGAGGGTCACCAGCGGGAGGGTCACCATAGGAGAGTCACCACGGGAGGGTCACCAGCGGGAGGCTCACCAGCGGGAGGGTCACCAGCGGGAGGGTCACCAGCGGGAGGGTCACCAGCGGGAGAGTCACCAGCGGGAGGGTCACCAGCGGGAGGGTCACCATAGGAGAGTCACCACGGGAGGGTCACCAGCGGGAGGCTCACCAGCGGGAGGGTCATCCGGATGAAAGGTCACCAGCGGACCGTCGCCAGATAGAGGGTCACTATAGGAGAGTCACCACGGGAGGGTCACCAGCGGGAGGGTCACCAGCAGGAGGCCCACCAGCGGGAAGGTCACCAGCGGGAGGGTCACCAATGGGAGGACCACCAGCGGGAGGGTCATCCGGATGAAAGGTCACCAGCGGACCGTCGCCAGATAGAGGGTCACCATAGGAGAGTCACCACGGGAAGGTCACCAGCGGGAGGGTCACCAGCGGGAGGGTCATCCGGATGAAAGGTCACCAGCGGACCGTCGCCAGATAGAGGGTCACCATAGGAGAGTCACCACGGGAAGGTCACCAGCGGGAGGGTCACCACGGGACGGTCACCAGATGGAGATTCACCAGCGGGAGGGTCATCACAGGAGGGTCACCAGCGGGAGGGTCACCACGGGAGGGTCACCAGATGGAGATTCAGCAGCGGGAGGGTCATCACAGGAGGGTCGCCAGCGGGAGGGTCACCACGGGACGGTCACCAGATGGAGATTCACCAGCGGGAGGGTCATCACAGGAGGGTCACCAGCGGGAGGGTCACCACGGGAGGGTCATCCTCGGGGGGGGGGGGCACAATGGGGTTCCGTTTTGGATTGGCGTAGTAGAGAGGGATATTGATGCTCGCGGCGGTTACAGTCGTTGCATAACTGTTCCATGTCTGGCGGTGGGTGCAAAATCGCGCTTACCAAACCAGACCGTAAAGTCAGACTTTTTCGTGCTCTGGTTCGAGTCTTGCTTGACCCAGAGATCCTACTGTAGTAAAACCCAATTTTCAACGCGCAGCAGTCAATTGCTAGAAATACCAAGGTGTGGAGCTACGCAAGGATTTTTCTGTCTCACTCAGTTATCTAGGCACGACTGATGACAGCCAGCCTTCCATTCAAAACAGACAAAGCCTCGCCAGGTTCCTTCAGGCAGCCTCGAGGACGCCTCTGACGGTGCCGTGCTCGTCCCCGCCGCCAGGGTCTACCCGGCAGGAGGGGCAACACCGGACCCGCCGGCCCGAAGGGCGAGGCCGGCTCCCAGGGCAAGATCGGACCGGAGGGCCCCACCGGCCGCCCGGGACCGCAGGGCATCCAGGGCGAGCTGGGCCCGGTCGGGCCGCCCGGCCAGTCTGGCGAGCGCGGCGAGCCAGGCTCGTCGGGGCCGCCCGGCGAGCTGGGCAAGCCCGGCCTCATGGGCGCTCGTGGTCCGCCCGGACCGCAGGGACTGCGCGGCTTCCCAGGACAGCAGGGCATCACCGGCTCCACCGGACCCAAGGGACAGCAGGGACTGCCCGGACAGAAGGGTTCGCAAGGAAACCCGGGCACCGAAGGTCAGTCGGCCCACTGGCATCAGTTTGGTTTCTTAGTTGCGTGACCTTCGTTTGTGATGGTTTCAGTGACAGCATGTTTACGTTAGTTGAAGCCTTAGTGTTATCTTGTTAACCTCAGTCTCAGCTTCAGTGATATTTTGATCACCTCAGTCACAGTTTCAGTGATGTCTGTTCATCCCGGTCACAGTTTCAGCGATGTTTTGTTAACCTCAGTCACATCGTCAGCGATATTTTGTTCACCTCAGTCACAACGCCAGCGATATTTTGCTCACCTCAGTAACAGCTTCAGTGATGTTTGTTCACCTGTCACCGCTGTAGTCACTGACAGCGCTCAGGCAAAATGCCAGTCTTGTGCATCGGCGACATGTTTTTGCTAATTCTGATTTTACTTATAAAGCTCGTGCTCTGTATCCCAGATATTCTCAAACAAGATCTAGCAAAGATCTGCCAAAGGGTAGCAGAGTTACATTGGCCAAGAGTCGATATATATATATATATATATATATATATATACGTATATATATATATATATATATATATATATATATATATATATATATATATATATATATATATATATGGCTGTGTTGGCCAGTCGCCCTCATGTGTCCCGGCTGTCCCACCTCACCTCACTCACCTCCACATTTTCCTCGCGCAGGCAAGCCGGGTCCGTCGGGACCGCCAGGCCCGTTCGGCCTGACCGGCTCCAAGGGCTCTCGCGGCGATCCGGGCCCGGTGGGACCGCAGGGCACTTCCGGTGCGCCCGGCCGGCCGGGCGAGCAGGGGCCACAGGGCCTGCAGGGCGCCACCGGACAGCCGGGCCTGGCCGGCCTGCCCGGCATCAAGGGCGCGCGCGGCGACCTCGGCCGGCCCGGCCTGCAGGGCTCCGCCGGCAGCCCGGGAAAACCGGGCCCCGAGGGCATCAAGGGCAGCTTTGGCGCGCCTGGCCTGCCGGGCCTGGTCGGACCCATCGGACCGCCCGGCGCCGCTGGAGAGCGAGGCCTCCCAGGCCTGCCCGGAGGCTCCGGACCCAAAGGACCGCAGGGCTTGCGTGGATCGCCGGTACGCCGCAGTCTCACTCACGGCGTGGTCGCTGTGTTTCCGCTGAGACGAACAGACCAACATAACCCTGGCTGGGACGACTGAGCTCGTGCCATGAGGTCGTCTGCTTCGGAAGCATGCTTCTCTCATTTGCTGACTGATGCACAGGGCGCAGGACTCTGCGGTGATCTGATCTGCCCAAAGAATTTGCAGGATTTCAGTTTTCTGCGGGATTTCGAAAGGGAGTTCTTACCGAACGCCTGATTTAGCTCACTGCAGCCGCGCCGCATTTCTTGCGCGTTGTAGCACACCATCCCTTTAGTTTTTCGTGCCTACCTCGAATTTGAACTTTTCAGCATTTTTACACACATAAAAGTGTGTCATGAATTGTGTAAGGGAGGTGGGAGGGGGAGGGGGGAGGGCACGTGACACCGGAGCCACTTCGGGAATACGCCTCTGGACCTGCCGCTAACGGACGTTGTCGGCGGGCAGGGCGAGGCTGGAGAGCCGGGCCAGCGCGGCCAGGAGGGCCCCTCGGGCCAGCCCGGCCTGCGCGGACCGCCGGGCAATCCGGGACCGGCCGGCGAACAGGGACCCAGCGGGCCCGAGGGCAAGATGGGCGCGCCTGGCATCAGCGGCCGGCCCGGAGACAAGGGACCGCCTGGCGACGTCGGCCAGCCGGGCATCTCTGGACCACCCGGACTGCAGGTTAGTGTCCGGCGCCGCCGCCGACGCCGCGGTGGAGCCACCGTTGCGCCGCGCGACCGCGGAAGCCGCCGTGGGCTCGAGATTAATGTCGCTGTCTGGGCGTCCGTGGTGGTGTTGGTGGCGGCGTTGGACTGCTGCTGCATTAGTGGCACGCAAAGGTTACGCTGCTTTCTTCTCGTTGCTGCTGTTCAGGATGAAATGGAGTACGTTGAGGAGACAAAACAGCATGATCAGGTGCTCGGTGTCGATTTTATGAAGGTGCAGTTCGTCCGTTTTATGCACTGCTCGCAACTTAAACAGCCTTTAAACGTTCTATATTCATTGCGCCCGCTGGCTGGCACAACGGCACCACTTGGTGCGGGGTCGGTGAGAGAATTTCACGCTTCATATCAGAAGCAGTGCTATCCATCAACAACTCCCAATGACAACGAAGTGTGAGCGTACAGACCATCGTCACTGATGATGTTTTGAGGCGATCGGTATGGTGCCTGACGGTGCGTGCCCCGCCCCACAGGGAGCTCCTGGCCCCGTCGGCCCGTCCGGACCGACGGGCGAGCGCGGCGATCGTGGCGAGCCCGGCGTCCAGGGCGTCGAGGGGCCTACCGGCGAGAGGGGCAAGCAGGGTCCGCCCGGCTTGCAGGGACCCAGGGGCGAGCGTGGCGTGGAGGGCGTCAAGGGCGGCAAGGGACATCGAGGTCTGCTCGGTCTGCAGGGTCTGCCCGGTCCGGCTGTAAGTGGAACACATTGACGATGCATGCGATACAGGGATGCTGTGATTTTAGTAGTGTTTAGGTGAAAACGCGCAAAACTAAACATATCTTAACAATGACCCGGGTTGTCTTTTCGTCGTACTTTTCGTGATTTCTTATCCACTTTCCGCTGAAGTTGGGTATTTTCCGTGGCGTTAGTGATTTTTCAGACAATGTTGCCCACTGCTACGTGTCATTTCCAGGGCCCCACTGGCGAGAAGGGACCGCCGGGCTCGCCAGGCACACCCGGAGCCCCGGGCGAGCCAGGCATGAAGGGCCCAGCCGGAATGGACGGCATGCCAGGTCCGCAGGGTCTGGAGGGCCCGCCGGGCCCGCGTGGTCCCAGCGGAGACACGGGGCGGCCGGGCCAGGCCGGAGCGCCGGGCCCGGCCGGTCCGCCCGGCCCGCCCGGCGAGTCGACTGGCTTCGATGTGGCTGCGCTGCAGGCCTTCATGCAGACGGGCCAGGACAAGGTGAGCGGTCGGCACGACCATGCTGGGGTCGCACCCGCGCCGCGTCCGCGGGGTGGGGGTGGCGAGTGTGCCGTCCAGCCCAGAGGCCAGGTACCGACCGCCCTCCTGGTCAGCTGGCGCCCAGCCTCAGCAGGGACGTTGTCCTGAAGTGACGGGCCGCCAGATGCCTCCCAACTTTCATGCTCTTTTCACCCCCACGGCGGCGATTCTCGCGCCTCTGTTAATGACCTGGACAGCTGGGTCCCCCTGCATACCCTACAATCGAGCTGCGCGCGCCGCGACCAGCCGGCCGGACGGCGCACTGTGCGCCGCGCCGCGCCCTGCCGGCCTTCGGCGCGGCCGTCGCCGCTGCCAGCTCACACCCGCCGCCGCCGCCGCCAGCCAGGGACCCGATCCGCTCAACAGCGACGAGCCCATCCGCCTCGGCAAGGAGCTGACCGACGACGAGCGCAAGGAGATCGTGCTGATGGCCTACAACCAGCTGCAGGCGCGCTTCAAGACGCTGGTGAAGCCGGACGGCACGGCCGACGCGCCGTCCAAGACGTGTCGTGACCTGGCCGTGGCCTATCCGGACAAGGAGAACGGTAAGGGTTCGGGTGGCTGCTCACTCTGGGCCGGGCAGGATACTGAGCGACCTAACCGGATGGGGAGAATGGTAAGGGTTCGGGTGTCTGCTTACAGTATTCGCCACAGCCGGCACCGGTGCTGCAAATGCTATCATGCATTCGTTGCAGAATTGCCTGTATTCATTAGAAGCAATGTATAGAAACAACAGCCTTCCCACAGTCCTGTAGCTCAATATTATGACACGACAGATGCTGAACGCACTTTTCGCTCGCAGGCAATTACTGGATCGATCCCAACGAGGGCGACAAGAAGGACGCCATCCTGGTCTACTGTGACCTGGGTCAGCGCATGACCTGCCTGAACCCGGACCCGGCCGTCACGCCCGAGCTGTCCGCCTCCAAACGCAGCCGCGAACACCAGTGGCTCTCAGAAGACATCAACGGGGGATCTGAGGTTAACCCATGCTCGCTAGTCTGCGCCCACCGACGGCCGGTCACCCGCAAATCTGGCGCCCTGGAGCCGGCAGTGTCCGTGCCAAGTGTTCTTGTTACAGACAGGTTTTGCTTGAGTAGCTGTGGCGTTCGCATAATGCGCGTATTCCTCACGTCGACCTCACGTCACGTCCTCATGACCTCACGTCGCCAGGCGGTATCCAGAAGTGTTTTCTCTGCACACCGCAGTCAACAGCGTACCGCTCTCCAGACGTACCACTGCGAGCTGTCGTGTAGTGTAGTCGTGTAGTCGTGAAGCGAGCGAGCTGTCAACGGTGTTACCATACCTTTCAGTTCTCCTACAAGGCGGACGCCAACCAGATCGGCTTCCTTCAGCTGCTGTCGACGCGCGCCGAGCAGAACATCACGTACCACTGCCGCAACCACGTGGCCGTGTACAACGCGCAGCGCGAGACGTACCGCGGCAGCCTGCGGCTGATGAGCTGGAACGACCAGGAGGTGTATGCCCGTGGCCGCAGCAAATACGACACGCTCTCTGACGGCTGTCAGGTGAGAGGACCAGTCACCTGGGCAGCCACCACCGTGACGCAGCTAGTGTGTAGTACACACTGTGTTTTATTCTGGTATCGTTAGTAATGTGTGATTACCAGAGGCTTCTTGGAAATGAGCGTGCCTTTAAGATCTTTCACCCCAAATAGCATGAAGTCTAGCTGGTTGCATCCTGGTGCGTGCGTGACCGGGTCTGTCCCACCTAGTAACTCGCTCTCATGACCCTGGTGACTGCAGATTCCCTTTCTGATCGCGATTTCAGAAGTCACAGACGTGTCTGATCGGCCTCCTGATTAAGGATTTTTCAAAACGAATCTAGGCTGGATGGAGTTCAATCTGAATTTAAAAGTCTGAAGACGTCGGCCGAAAAGTGACCCTGTGACCTTGGTGCCCCCAATTAGAAGAGAAATCTCGATTCACCGACGTCGTAGAAACAGAGCATTAATGCGTGCCTCTCAGGCTTTCGACATTGGAGCTGGGTTTGCGCCGCGGCGCGCACCAGCTGTTTTTACTACATCTTGATCTGAAGCGCTGGTGGCTCGTGACGGCCAGCTGCGAGGACTGCCGTGACCCCGATCACACGACGTGCTTCCCATCCCCAACCAAGGTTGTCGCTACCTTCCTGCTACACTTGCCATGAAATGAGTCGGCTTGGACCTACAGCCCCGCATCTGAAGTGGTGGGATGCGACCGGTCATGCCACGGACCACGGTCTCAGCTTCCTGGCTGCTCCAAAGGTATCGCGCACAGTGGCGTGGTTAACCGCACTAGTGAAGTAACTCCTGACCTTCTTGCGGTGGCAGAGCAATCGCGCGCCGATTGGATGGCTGCCCGGCTACTGTAAAACACTGAACCGACGTCACCTAGTCACCAGATGCTGTCAGCGTCCGCTAAACACGACCGGGCCGCCGTGTGTCTACCGCGGCGCCGATGCTTATCGGCAGAGGCGTCTTTCTCTGGCTCTGCGGGCGGCGGGCGCGACGCTGCCGTGACATGCGCCGGGGCAGGCCAGCCGCGTCCCTGCACGCGCCGGTGTCCTTGCGACACGCGGCCGGCCGCGCCACCCCGCGCTCTTGTCAGCGTTGTCGCAATGTTTGTCGGCGCCGCGCGCCGGTCGGTGGCCGAGGAGCGGGTGGGCGTTGAGGCCGGCCCGTCCCTCGCGGCACGACTCTTGGCGAAGCTCCGCGCGCTGGACGACAGTCAGAGATATCTCACGCCAGACGACATCCGGTCATCTCACACTGGTCGACATTCAGAGACATTTCACGCTGGACGGTATCCCGAGGCAGCTCACGTTGTGCAACATCCCGAGTTATTTCAAGCTTCTCTACATCCCAAGATATCTCACGCCAGGCAGTATCAAGAGCCATCAGACATTGCAGGACATTTGGAGACATTTCACGCAGCTAACATCCCGCGACGAATTACATCTCAAAAACTGCATGGCATTCCGGCATGGTCGCGATTTGTATCACATTCCATCACATCTCGCACCGCACGATGCCACAAGACACCTCACACGGCACCATGCCACAAGGCACCTCACGCTGCACGATGCCACGAGACACCTCACGCTGCACGATGCCACAAGACACCTCACGCTGCACCATGCCACAAGACACCTCACGCTGCACGACGCCATAAGACACCTCACGCTGCACGACGCCACAAGACACCTCACGCCGCTCGTCACTCAGACACGGCATGCCGCGCTGTTGGCCAACCAACGAGGCAGTGAGTGATGCGCCTTCGCTGGTGCGTGAATGCCACCGGTGTTGAGAGCCGGCGATCAGGCAGCACGGCAGGCGGCTGGAACAGCGCGGGCTGCTGGCTGGGCACACCGCGGTATGCAGTGGTAATATGAATCATGCATATAGTTCGTCGTAAGGGGGAGGTACCATGCAGTTTTCTCACCCACACTCCGTTTCATGGGCAGTTGGGGTGGGGTAGTATGACATGGCTCTCACCTGAACCGCTCTCAGCGTGGATCTTGCAGGTTCACGGTGATTGATGCAAAGCGGAGAATGAGAGCGGCTACGTTCATTAAGCTGCTGACCCCCAACCCTCCCTGTGATCCGTCTCTCTCGGAGACCTTGCCACGTTTAATCTCTGGCTCGGAGACCCGGCCGTCCGCCGCCGCCAGCCGACGCCATCTCCTGCCAGCTGTGTCAGACACCAGGACCTGAGACGAAATCAAACAGCTGTTCACGTGCTCCATATCACCTCAACTGGGCAGGGTGTTGTGCGGTGTACTGGTATCCCAAACCTATTTTGTGGACTCCGGCGGTCGGCAGGCGTTTATTGGTCATCTCAAGCACCCGCACATCATGCTTCTTCGGTGCAGGGGGAGGTTGTGCATAAATATGCACAGTTGCACGGTTGCACCACAAGCTCGAATCGGCTGTGCGAAGAGCCTCAGCATGTCCGAGCTAGTGGCAAGCACAGCTCCGCGCTCTGTCAGCCGCGCCCTGTGACCACAGGTCACACCATCCCCAGCCCGACGATCCGGCCCACTCGGTGCGTGACCACCTCTCGAACGGCGCGAAAACATTGCACCATCGAATGATCGGTGGAAGCATTCACCGACCGACCGCCGTTGGACAACTTGCGCTTTCTCACCGCCGTCTGCCATAACGACCGCCAAAAGCGACGCCCAGCGAATGCTGATGACGGCTAGTCCGCCGGTGCAGAGGCTGCCTTCCATTGACGCTGCGCCCCTCTCCCCCCCCCCCCCCCCTCCTATTTCACCGCAAGCGTCGAGACTCGAGACGACACAACTCTGACTGGGTTTGGCGGGAACCCAGGCGCGGACTGGTTCTGGTAGGATCCAGGGGGAGCCCCAACCCTGGCTAGATCCAACGGGAGCCCCTACCCTGGCTAGATCCAGCGGGCCCCTACCCTGGCTAGATCCAGCGAGAGCCTCTACCCTGGCTCGATCCAGCGGGAGCCCCAACCCTGGCTAGATCCAGCGGGAGCCCCTACCCTGGCTAGATCCAGCGGGAGCCTCTACCCTGGCTAGATCCAGCGGGAGCCCCAACCCTGGCTAGATCCAGCGGGAGCCCCAACCCTGGCTAGATCCAGCGGGAGCCTCTACCCTGGCTAGATCCAGCGGGAGCCCCAACCCTGGCTAGATCCAGCGGGAGCCCCAACCCTGGCTCGATCCAGGGGGAGCCCCAACCCTGGCTAGATCCAGCGGGAGCCCAACCCTGGCTAGATCCAGCGAATATCCAGCGGGAGCCCAACCCTGGCTAGATCCAGCGGAAGCCACCTACCCTGGCTAGATTCCAGCGGGAGCCCCAACCCGGCTAGATCCAGCGAGAGCTCTACCTGGCTCGATCCAGCGGGAGCCTCAAGCCCTGGCTAGATCCAGCGGGAGCCCCTACTCCGCTAGATCCAGCGGGAGCCCAACCCTGGCTAGATCCAGCGAGAGCCCCTACCCCGGCTAGATCCAGCGGGAGCCCCAACCCTAGCTCGATCCGCGGGAGCCCCCCACCCTGGCTCGATCCAGAGGGAGCCCCAACCCTGGCTAGATTCAGCGGGAGCCTTAACCCCGGATAGATCCAGCGAGAGCCCCTGCTCTGGCAAGATCCAGCGGGAGTCCCGCCCTGACTGGACCCAGCGGGAGTCCGGACCCTGACTGGATCCAGCTGGAGTTCCGATACTGATTGGATCCAGAGGAGGTCCCGAGTCCCGACCCGAACTGGATTGTGCAAGCGCCCCCGGTCCTGACTGAGTGTGGAAGCCGCCTCCGACACGCGCTGCCGACCTCGGCCGCAGGGCCCTCCGTCGACCGACAGCTGTCAGGCAGCAGAGAGGCGGCGATTCGCAGGCCTCGTCTGGCGTCTTCCCTCTGGATGCACAGAGGCGGCAGAGAGGGAGACCTTACGAAACCGCACTCGAGCGGGCTTTGTCTGGACCGGTCAACGGCTCGCGGAAATGCGAGATGCCAAGCTCCCCATGAGACGTCAGGACACGAACGCCGCTTTTAGCGGACGAATCACAGCTAAGTATGTACATGAGTCGACACATCCACAATGGATCGATCAGCACATTGTCGCCCAAAATTGGCATCGCGCATGCTAAGCTACGCAATGGTTTTGCGATATATCAATACACGCGTCCTTAAAAGCATTTTCAGTGCAAGCTGAAAGCCCGACGCGAGGTTCCATGGCATCGGCGCGATGCTACCTTCAGAACACCGAGCAGCGATCGTCCACACGGCTCGGATCAAGCGGGGTCCCACGTCCTGGGCCACGCGTGCTGTGGCGGCTTCTCAAGGGCATTACCACCATGGAATGCGCAGTACGTGGCTTAGTTCCTGGTTACGACACGAGGCTAGCCGACATGAGTCAGTCCGGTGGCTCATTGCATCCCACGCCATGCATCGTTCTGGCCTAGGCTTGGTTTTCGTGGGCACGATTTCGACCCCTCTTCGGTCTACCGTCAATCATTATCGATGCTCGCTGAGGAAACGCTCACTCAACGGTTTGGTGTGCCGTTCGACACGCTCAGATTGGTAGTCAAATCTGATACCATGCTGCATGAGGAAAGTTTGTGAGTCCTCGTTGCTCCTCATTGCTTGCGAAAATTTCTCAGAAGGGATGAAGTCAATCGAACGCCTGGGGATTGTCCCTGGCGGCTTTTCTGAGGCAAAGCGCCAACTCAGACGGTGGTTGTGAGATTTCACATATCTGGAAAGAATTCACGGCAATTGCTTTCCAGAGTGGCAGCTTTTGCACTCGAATTTAGATGACGTCAGTACAGCGCTATGGTTTAAATACTGCCATATTTTATGACCCGGCTATTGCGCACTTGCCTTCCATAAGCGTTTAAGCCAAAACTGTGTGGTTTCATGGCCAGCTTTGCTTATTTTGAGCTATGGTCCCATATTTGGAGGCTTGCAATTTGATTGTCTTGGCGGACATCCTTAACATGGCAGTAAGTGGCTCACAGAATAAAATTTTGATTACCAAGCGAGCAAATCATTTTAGATGCGTCGGGAACATTTCTGAGATGAAACGTAATCAACCACGTGTTTTGACTTTGATCTGGGATCGGTCGCAGAACAATACTTGTCCAAAAGCTATTTAAACAAGATTATGTGCTTTTTTTAAAGCCTTGCCATATCGCCTTTGGTTTTTCGCCCTTTCCCATACGCTATTAGAATATATATTTTACGCCCATATTGCTCTTTTTTACTCGTCAGGCCATGAGCTTCCTTCTTTTTGTTCCTGGGCATGCAGGTTGACTTTGGAAAATCACCGGTTGGCCTGAAGATGTCCAACTGAACACCATTGGATAATTTACACATCAAGTAATCTCTGATTGTCTCCTGTCTATTTCGTGGATCTTGCTCGGCTTGTTGCCCCCGCACACACACACTCAGCGCTAGTGAAAAGGCTCTCGTGGATAATTTGCAACGTGAACGTTCATAACTGACGTCGGGCAGCATTTCCTGGAGCCTGTTTGGTTAGATCCTTGACTGTGTGGTGACGTCCTTGCCTGTCTCCTCTTTTGCCATTTGCTCCTGGGAATCAATTTGCCTATCGACCCATTTCGGGGCCTTCGTAAGGCGGCTCGGTCTGCAGCTGCCCATCACCAGGGGAGCCCGCGACAGCCTTGGGGCCTTCGTGCGGCGGCTCGATCCGCAGCTGCCCGTCACCAGGGGAGCCCTCGACAACCTCGAGGCCTTCGTAAGGCGGCTCGGTCTGCAGCTGCCGATCACCAGGGGAGCCCTCGACAGCCTTGGGGCCTTCGTGCGGCGGCTCGATCTGCAGCTGTCCATCACCAGGGGAACCCTCGACAACCACGTCAGCGCAGTCATTAATGGTGCGACGAGATGGCTTTAGTGTTCTTGGTGCTCCTTCCTAAATCTATGTGCTCGCAGCATGAGCAGCCATCACCACTGGCAAAACATTGACAGCCAGAGCGGCAGAGTTTTTTTTTGTCACATTGATAATGCCACGCGACGGCGCGGACATTCCCACGATGTTTGTCGGAATGACAACACTGGAGCGGTGCATAAAAGTATGGTTTGTTGTTGATTTTAAGACGCCCCATGAAGCGTGGTATCGGTTGCGGATAGTTCGCGCCTATTTTCGCTGTCATTCTTATTGGTATGAACGTATCCACATGCGTCGATACTCCGTTTCCAGAGGGGGTCAAAGTCGTTGACTCACACGTTTGGGTATGTGCCAACTGGTCGTCCGCCCCCGATAATCTGTCTTCTTCTCCGAAACCGCACATTTGGACTAAAACGGCGCATTTATTAACCTATTTACCATTTGTTCTCTCTGCCATTTCATAAACTCCTTAATGGTCTGACCCTGAACGAGCCATGGATGCAGGTCCTGACGCAACCCATGGTTGGATTGAGTCATCGCTCATGCGGCGAACCTGTGGTAACGGACGGGCTACGTGACGCCGCATCTCACCGCACGTCCGGCCAGGCTGCGTCCGGGGCTCGCTCCAACGGCCCGCTTCCGTCCACTGTGAGATCCCTGTCAGCCGGCGTCTCGGCCCTGCGGGAGACCGCTAGGAGCGCCCGGCACAGCCTTGAGGCGTGCAGCAGGAGGGAGGCGGGGGTCGCGTCGAAGTCATGCTTCTGCCCCGACCGCCGCCCTATCCAAACGGCGCCGACCGCCGCCCGGCTCCGTCTGTGAGTCTCCCTCGCCGCGTTTGAGGAATCCAGGCGCGACAGGCTGCCGCGGGCCTGCCCCCGTTCAGTCCGGAGGCGTGCTCGCGGCGCGACACGCACCACCCGCGCGCGTGCGCCCCGTGCCACCCGCGGCGCACGTCGCGTTCGGCGACAGGAGGCGGACGTGACTGCACCGCCGGCGGCCGGGCCGGTCCGTCGCGAGCGCGCCGCGACTGTCACTAGGGAGCCATACTCGGCCGAGTCGGAGCTCGAGTCGAGTCTCGGAGCTGGGGGACGGGCACGCTCCAGGGCTGCTCTCGGGTGGCCAGCGGTCAGCAGACATCCAATGGTAGTACAGGTCACGCAGGGAGGACACAGCAGACGACAGACGTCACGCAGGGAGGACACAGCAGACGACAGACGTCACACAGGGAGGACACAGCAGACGACAGACGTCACACAGGGAGGACACGGCAGACGACAGACGTCACACAGGGAGGACACAGCAGACGACAGACGTCACACAGGGAGGACGCTGCGCACAGACGTCAAGCAGGGACGGTGCGGACAGCTGGCCCCCGCGCTGTTCGGCGGCCGTCAATGCTCCGACACCTGGTGCGGCCAGGCGGACGCCGCGCCGGACGTCTGCGGTCACATCGTGACATGGTCAAGGGTTGGTCATGGCCTGTACGCTAACACAGCGCGTAAAATGCGGCTGGGTCCAGCCGGGGTCACAATCACAGCTCAGTGGAGGCTCCGGCTTGGATGCGGCACCCGCCAGGCTCCGCTATCGGCGCTGCGTAATGGGCGCGGTGCGGGTCGATGCAATTTCTTTGTCAGATTACCATCAACACGAGGTGTTGAACACGAAGCTGTTGTAACCATCCTGTATCCCGGCATACATCTATGTTGTGTGGCGGTTACGTAACGTCTTCGTTGAGCGAACCGGTGATCGGACACGGATGATAGATCCCACGTCCATCCATCTCTGTACAAGATCGATGAAGACGCGTCGACTTTTGATGACACAGAACTTCAAATTATAATGGCGCACTCTGCGCCCGGCGGCTGCGCGTTTCAGCACCTTGACCCACGTGTCAGAGGGCCTAAACGATTGTCTGAAAAGGCAGTTAAGTGGCAAAGCTTTTAACGCTCGCCGTCCGAGCTGCGTAACTAACCATAAATGACGTCAATGTTGCCACCAGTCCGGAGCGTCTGGCGGAAACTTACATCTGTCATAGGTGAGGGTCTACCAGATGACACAGGCGCATCAGGTCCCATCGCAACACGAGCGCAACAGGCGTCTGGTATACTGTGAAGGGCTTGTTGGTGACGCCCGGCCTCATGGGACCTCCGGTAGCTGACGAGAGTTTGGAGCGACGGAGTCTGGCCGGATGCCAGCTTCCAAGGGTGAGCGATTGCCTTCAGTGACCACCAGGGTCACTCCGCCAAGGATGCAGGCTTGTCTTCCAGACGCAGATGCGGAGGATGACCCCATCAGACCACGTTCAGCGCGCTCGTCTCGCCCCGTCAGTGTGACTGTGCGTGCCGGGCGTGCTTGTCTCGGGTCGCGCGTTCGCGCCGCGCTGTCTAGTGACCGTGTCTCTGTCTCTCTCCTGCTGCAGGGGGCGCCGTCCAGCTGGGGTCAGACCCTGATCCGCGTCAGGACGCCGCGCACCCAGCGCCTGCCGCTCACCGACATCGGGATGCGCTCCGTCGGGCGGCGCGACCAGCTGTTCAAGGTCGAGATCGGGCCTGCCTGCTTCTTCTAGAGAGCCGGCCGCGCCGGGGAACAAACACTGCCAGGGCGACGTCACTGCCAGCCGGACCGGTGACGTCACTCGTCCGAAGGAGGAGGAGGAGACGGCTCGGGAGGAGGAGTGTGAGGATCGGAGAAAAGATGTGAGCGGACAAGACAACGTGTGTAGAAACACAAAACGAAAAACGCGGGGGGAGGAAGATAGAATACTTTTGGTGGAGATGAGAGGGAGAAGGAGGATGGATGGTGATGGCGGTTGATGAGGAGTGGAGGACAGTGATGGAAGTAGCAGGGCCAAGATCCGGGGCTCATTGGTGGACCGGGGGGCGATTGTCTCTGCCAGGTACCCGCCGCCGGTTGCGGCGGATGCCCGGTCACTGCGCACGCCACTTCGCTTGGCGTGACGAGAGGGAGAACATCCAGCGAAACTGCCCAGCATGGTCCACCAATGTGCCCCGGAGGGACCCGCTCTCCGCACGCGACTGACTCGGGAGAGACAAGCGTGACATCTAGCCTTAAGTATTTTTATATGTCTGTGACTTAGATAGTCCTAGCTATAGGTAGGTTAAGAGCAAGTACTTGTGCAATAATGTTATTCCTGAGCTTGTGCTTGCCTGGTTTGCTTAAGTGCCGTACTTGAGTCCCCGTGATGTGTTCTGCAGCCCACTCTGTGCATGTAATTAAGTAATTAAGGAATATACACATGGTGTTTTTTCAACTGTTTTACACAGCCACTGAGCGCGCAGTTTGCTGGATTTATCGTTGAAACTATCATTTTGGCATATCCCGAAATCCAGCCGATGAACATTTCAAAACCAACACAGCCAAGTGGGTCTTGCAATTCATCATGCAGCACAGTTGTTGGGCTTTTATGCAGAATGTTTTTTTGTGAGCGGCCTATCTTTACTTCGCTCCGCATCATCTTGAAATGAAGTACTGCTTTATAGCCCATTAATTCCCTCTGCTGCAGACCATCAATTCCCAATGGAAGGAATTGATGGTCTGCCACCAAGTTAAAAACGTTTTTGGGGGAGAACATCACACCAGCTAAACAGCTCGCCAACAACATACAAGAACGTTGCATGGAAAGGCACTGAATAACTTCTAAAATAAAAACACCTCATTTCAAATAAGGACAGGAATGACCAACATTCATCTAACCACAGGTAAACAACAGCGTCATTTTGAGAATATCTGGCATAACATATTTGCACCACGCTTTCTGAGGCAGGCTTGATGTTCGTGGCCTGCAATGTTTGGTATTGATATTCTGTTTTCAGGATGTTGTGAAAATAGCTGTTTTAGGGATTTATTAATGCGTTGAATAGTTGGTAAAACGCTTTTAAGGGTGTTTGGGAAAGTTGCAGTACATTTTAAGCACTTGACCAAGGAGATGGTAATTTTCGTGCAATTTCAGAGTCATTTATTACCTGAACCATGTTTATCAACTCAGAATACGTTTAACACGCGCTCGGGTGGGGTCAAATTGACCCCTGGAGGTTTTTCCCGAATGGTTTCCAAACGACGTGGTGTAGCCGCGGAGAATTTTGCATAGCTGTAGACAGCTGAATAACAAATCGTTTGGTATCAAAAATGTAGGTGTACCATTGTTTTCTGTCCATTTCCTTTTCGCCGGTCCATTTCTCTCAAGCTGCTGATCTACGGCAAGTCAGTTAGGCCCTTAATTCAGCAAAGTCAATTTCCAGGGAATCGGTTGATCTGATGCAACAACGGAATGTTAGGCAAAGTCATACTTCTCTGGGATACTTTCTCAGGCAACAAAGCAGTTAAATGGGAATATTTAATTGACCTAGGGTCAGGTATGAAGGTCAGACCAAGGTCAAAACCAACCTGTTTCATTTTTAGAAGGCTTGTTGTATGGGGTAGTTTCTGGCGCTCAATTCAGATATATTGATAGCAAAAACCGCATTTTAAATCTTTCATGACCTAACATGACCTGGTCTTTGTTTTCAGGAACATACTCCCGTGCATAGTATTTGTCGCTTATTCAAACGCAAATCTCGAAGCACTGCCTACGATTTTGGTCACCATGACCTTCACAATGTCATACACGGTCACTGACCCTGAATGAGCATGAAACCTTTCCCTTAGAACGGGCATCTAGGTTCTGAGGGCGCTTGGAGACTGACGTGGAGTTCGATTTTGCTTGACATTATTTGAACCAAAGGCCATAACTTAGGAATGCCAAACTTAGCCCTAAGTAAGCACACGTACAGGACAACACACCCTGTGAATTTGGTGTGTCTATCCATCTTAGTTCTTGAGATCTCAGCGGGGTCAAACTGACCCCCAACCGAGCGCAGGGTATTCAACCGGCCACCCTGGCGCGTGTTAATATGCGGAACGAGACTTTTTATAGCCCTTTGTTTCTGCAGTCCATGCCTCCAGTTTACCCAAATTCTAGGGTAATACCAGGCCCGGCGATCGCGTGGGTTGGTCGGGAGCGTCAAGCCATTATTGTTTACACCGGTGTCGTGCGGAGCAAGGGGCGCTTTGAAGATCATTTAGTTCAAGGATGGTCCATCATGAACCACATTTATGGATGTAGGCGTGATGAGTGCCACATAGATGTGAGCAGGGAGACGGCCAGCCAGGGTAGTGGAGTTTTTTTCTTGTCGCATCTGCCAGCGAACCCTCTACAAAAGTTTCGAGCAAACTTTCTGTAGAAAGGGGTCTGACACGGTACCTGCCCGTGCGAACACGATTTCGCTTTTAACCAACAAATCAGAATTTTATCACGATGTGCGTCTTTGCAAACACGTCTTTAAATCTCTGTAAAGCATTTCTAGCCGAAAATCGCTCATTTCAGTGATGTTGTTTGGAGCGCTAACTTTTTAACATTTAAAAAGTCGCATCGTAGTCACTCGTTAAAGCGGCTAACACCTAAAGTTTGACTTTTGTCTGACATTTGCCTACTTGATCTGTCCTAAGGCACTGTGCAACGATAATAAAGGACAGATGGCGAAATGGGGACGGATCTGCATCTGTTCTTGTGGTGGTGCTTTGTTTTTATTAGAGATATGACCTTCCGAACATTCTTTAATCAAGGAAATATATAATTACATTTAAATCCTTTACAGTCTCTGTATATTAGCGGAGGAGTAACAGATAACAAAGCAGCCTTTCTCACTGAATGGAGTAACGAGTCAATGTACCCACATAAGCACGCTCTTGATCTGTTTAGTTATACTTATCGATCTCGAGCTTCAATATGTCAACACAGATTCACGTGCGCGTATAAGCGTATGTAACGAGTTCGATAAGGTGGGGCATGCACGGTCACAAGACGAATGGCGGCCACAAGGTGAATGCGCCCCTGGGTGAAGAGGGCGTGCAGGTGACGTAAAGACATCTGCACCACTTTGCCGGCCCTGGTGGGGCTTATCTCCGACATCGATGTGACTCCCACTGTTTGTCACACTGAGGGCTGTCGAAGGGACCGACACCTAGGATAGAGGAGTTTAGAAGCTCTTTGGTGCTCTCCTCAAACTGACCTTCTCTACTTTCCATGTCCAGAACCACTGAAGGGTGCTCGTGGATCAGGAAACGGCGGGTCGTGACCCCTGACCTATCCGTCGACCCCGCTAAGCAGACCTGTATTCATGCTATCGTCCTTGAAAATGGGCGGACAGGCTACAAGAGGTACCTGTCTGACGCTATTCATCAGCTGAATAACTCAGGAATGGCCTACTATTCGTAGTGGCGGGTCCTGGTTTATGCGTATTCATCGGTCGCATGAAACACCCCAAACCACCGAGTGGAATTCATTTTGTCGTGAACTGTTCCTGGACTTACATCACAATTCACAAAGCTTGCCTAAGCTAAATGTTCCACCTGCTGCAGAAGCGTCGTTTCTACTGGACATTTTCTGGAGTCAACCGTTGAATGCAGTTGTCTCATGGTCGTTTCTTATTGTTCCTAACGGCTTGCTTATTCACACCTACATCTTAGACCTTCATGGATATTTGTTACTTCCCGCAGCCGCACGTACTGAACACAGTGAATCGAGATATTGTGCGATATTCTAAACAATTGCATCAAAAATCATCGGCACGAATGGTTCACACGAAACTCCTACGCCTTCGTAAAGACGACTTCATCCGCACACTACGTGGGTCAGCATCAGTCGGCAGCAGCTGGCATCAGTGGTTATCAGCCAGCATCAGTTGGCCTCAGTCAGCATTAGCCGGCATCAGTGGACATCAATAGGCATGAGTCGGCATGAGTCGGCATGAGTCGGCATCAGTCGCACCAACAGACATTAGTCGGTATTATCAGTTGACACCAGTTGGCTTCAGTTGGTATCAGTTGGAATCGGTCATTAGTCGGCATTAGCCGGCTTTAGTTGCATCAGACGGCATCAGTCTGTATCAGTCAGCAGAGCCTGTGCGCCCGCGGCTGGCCCAGCGGCCGGAGCGGACCGGGTGCCACTAGCGGCTGCCGGGGTGCTGATAAGCCGCGCCGGGCCGGCGCGCGTCGACCGCCGGCGGCTGGAGAGGAGAGGTGTCGCCTCTGCGGGCCGGTCCAAGGTCGCCCGCCGCCGCCGTCGCCGCGGGGGGCCGCCGACGTCCGGCCGAGCCTGGTCCCCGGCATCCCATCCACCCCGCGCCCCGGCAGCCGGCCCCGTCGCGATATCAGCAGACGACAGCGGGACGGCCCAGGCCGCTCAGGTGCTGTGGCGGGGCAGCACAGGCACTGCTCAGCATGACTAGCTGAGAGTCAGGAATTGAGCAATGCTACCAGCTGGCAATATACGCTTGGCGATGAGCGCGAAAAGGAACGCGTTTACGACACCCGTTTCCCTATTTTACGACCAGCATCATCTGAAGTTACGGGCCATTGTGAGGGCTCTGTTGCCCTCATTACACACCGGATGTAGTGAAACATCTAGCACGGAGAAGCACCACAAGAGTGTAGGAGAGGAGATAGAGAAATGGAGATGTGAGAGAGCCAATCAAAGCTGTGCGGGCGGGGGCACGAAAACTGGGCGGGCGGCAGGAGGAAAAGGCAACCTGGGGCCCACAACTATCTGAAAAAATAGCATTGACCCTGTGGACGACCCAAGTGGAAAGAAACAACCAAACGGTGACTATTGTTCCCCCCTAACTGAGGATGACCTTCCGCTGCCTTTGGTCGAGGGTGAGAAAATCTCGCTTTCCGATAAATGTGGCAGTGGTGTTATTGCAGGAATTGCGTACAGTCCGTACATCGACCTGATCGACCTGCTGGCAAAGAGAGTAGGAAAGAGCTTTCCTAGTGCGCTTAATACCAAAGTGAAGGGTGCCTCTGATAATTTTTATTTTTCCGTGAGCTAGAAACGTGCGCAAGACGGATGAAAAACCCGACTCACATGTAACCCGCCTATTTACAGCTATGATCAGACGAAAACAAGGCAACCGAGTTCAAGGCTCTTAACTGCAATCACGCTGTTGGAAGCCATGAAAACGGTCGTAAGCTTGGCGCGTTTGAGTGACATTAGGTGAAGAACGGCCACATATCACGGCAGCCTCGCCCACAGAGGCGCACAACAAACACATCAGTGCGCTG